GTTCGTGCGTGCAGTCCTGTGTACGTGCGTGCCCCGCAATTGATGGTGTTTTTCCTGAGCCATTATATTAAATGACATTGATACGCTCAATCTCAGTTTCACAACCGTAAACTTGTCTACTCGTTGTTAATATGGCGACACCTGAGGAGCTCGCTGAGCTCTCTGAAGCCCGTAGAGAGTTGGCCGCTACGCGCCGTTCCCTCCGGGATACTCGCGAGGCTCTCAACAACATCATCTCCGACGAGAAGGATGATACTCAGCAGCTTATGAGCGACCTCGCGTCCAAGGAGGCCAGTAATCTTTCTAAGATAGGTAGCCTCGAGGCCCGTATTGCTGAACTTGAGGCCCTGGCTGACCGATCCGTCAGCGAGATATCACGGAAGGAAGGTTTCAGTCGACTCTCTCCACGGTCCGAGGAGGAGGAGCATGAGGTGTATACCACTCCGAAGTCACGCTCCTCACGATGCCCGGCAGCGACAGTGACTAAGTTATGTCTGCCTCAACTCTGTGAAGCAACAGATCTCCAATCGCACTATCATGCTATTGAACACACCTTCGTTGAAGCAGGAGCCGCTGAGTATCACCAGCAAGGACATTTGCTAGTGCACGAGGAGGTCAAAGTATCTGTCATGACCAAATTCCTTTCCTCTCTGAGTAATGTCCGACCGGTCCATAAGAAGGCCACTGTAGCGTCACGTACCCACTCACAGGATTGGAATTTGGTCCGCAATGTCCTTCTGACGAGGTATTGCCGCAGATCAGTGTTGAAGGAGACCTACGAGGAGAAGTTACGCAATCTCACATTTACAGGGGTTAAGCAGATCGAGGATTTCCTGGAGTCCGCCGCCGATATCTACCATCTATTCACAGATGTCTACCCGAACGACGTGTCGGAGCGACGTTCATTGACAAGACAAGTTCTGGCGAAGTTCCCACAGCATATCATTGAGAAGGTTATGGAGAGAATTTGCCAGCTGTCGGGGTTAGCCTCTGTCGATGAGGACTGGGAGACGGCGGTGCCATTCGATGAGGCATCAGACGGAGTGCGAAGTGTTTGTGAGGCAATCCGATGGGTATGCCGAACAAAGGACCAAGCCTCAATAATGAAACCGACGAAAGGGGTCGATAGTGTTCACGCCGCCATGTACGACGACACCTGCGAAGAGAGTTTATCCTCGAAGCCGGCAAGCAAACAGGATTCTGCTGCCTCAGTGGATAAGGTTAACTCCGGATCGGGATCTCGCTCAGTAACCCCCAAGCAGTGGTGTGAACGATATAAGCCTGACCAATTGATCAAGGTCATTGGACTGTGGGGTGACGATCTGCAGAAGGCCATTCCTGAAATGGAGAGCAACTTCCCTTTGAAGGGAAAAGGACGTCGTAATCCGTTCTTCCGAATAGTTGCTCTCAAGGCTGGCACTGATAGGGATGCCGTTATCTCTCGACTGACGAAGAACAGCATCCGTTCTGACCGGTTTGCCCCTTTCTCATGAGTCCTGAGCAGGACTTGAAACTGCTTCCTATCACTCGTGATAGGGCTTCGGTACCATCTGCTTACTGGTTATGTTGTCGTCTTGCTACTACCCCCACTTGTATGAGTTGGATAGATGCCCGGTTATTATTAGACACCGGGGCTGGTCTTGATTTTTTATTGTACGATGACTCTTTCCCTTTAAAATCATTCCCAATTGAGACGTGTAGTTTCCAAGTGAAGCTTGCTGACTCGTCCAGTCGAAAAGTGAGTCGCAAAGTGAAGTTCCCAATGCAGCTCCGGGAACAGCAGGGATGGGGAACTACTCGTGACAGATATTTGTACCTGCTACCTCAAGTATCACGGGGCCCCTTATCTGATTGCCCAGTGATTATCGCGGGTCGAGTCTTTTTGCGTGATTATAAAATATCGATTGACTCAGGCGAGAGCCGAGTGACGCTCGCTGGTAATGATCTGCCCCTTGTCCGATTCCCGCAAGAATCGGTGCCTACCGTTGCTCGATGCTCAGTGACCGAAGAGTCTAATATATGTATTCTTGATCCCAGTCTAGGGGATGGGAAATGGGACGACGAAGCTGCTGGCTGCCTGCTGACGACTATGATTGAGGGCCGACAGGATGCAGACACATCCTATGAACGACTTCCCCTCCCGCCCTCATCATCTGAGGAGATGGACATTCCTTTCGACACGGTACCACCAATCTCAACTGACCTGCTTGACCGATTGGTCAGCCAAGGGTGGTGGCCAATGCGGAAGTGTCAACACTGGTTTGCTCGTCTACGGAAGCTCCGTGCTGATGAAATACGTGACGACTCCCGACAGACTCACGTGTTTGAGCTTAGATGTGATTCCTTGGGCGAGGCGAGTCATGTACAAATTCCAACGGCTGTCCGTCGAATTGCGGAACGCGCATACGAACGATTAACCCTCGAGAAGCAGAAGACCTTTGACGAGCTAGTCCGAGGATATGAAGAGAGAGGATGGTGGATAAAGAGATCTGAGGAAGAGATTCACACACTCTCCAAGACCACCCACATTCTCCCTCCATCGGTTGTATTCATGATCCCAGGAGCTCTCAAGCGACGAGATAGACTTGTCGTCGATCTGCGACGGGCCAATCGTCGTTTCACAAGAGGGTCCAGTTCCTCGGTCACGGTTTCTATCTGCATAGCGGTGACTCGTCTGTATGGATCGGGAGTCATGTGGGTCATGGATTGTTCACGCGCGTTCTATAAATTGCGCTGGTTGGGCCTACTTGCCTTGTTGGTGGTACGTTCATCGCTGTACACGAGCAACCGCTGTGTCTTCGGCGTCACCACTGGTCCTGGAAGTTTGGGGCATACTCTGGGAGACCTGATAGCAGCATTCAGAGCTCTCTGTGCAATGTTGCTTCTTTGTTTCCTATTACTCTGCTTCGTTGATGACATTCTATGTGCGGGAGTGGACGGTGCTTCAGCAGTATGTTGGTTGATATATACACTACAGAGATGCGCCTTCGGGGTATCTCGGAAGAAATTCCAAGCGATCGCCATCAGGTCATCAAGGAGTCATGTTGCCGATATCCTAGAGCGGATGAACCTACCGACTTCCCTCTTCGTATGGTCGGATTCCGCCGACTTACTGGGATGCACAATGACTTACGATGAGAGTGGACCGACGCCTCTTCTTCGCGTCGATTGCAACCGAGGTGATCGGCTCCAGTTGGCTCGGCAGCAGGCCACATCAGTGTTACAAGTGTTGGATGGTAACGTCACGACGACGGTGACTAAGGCTTTTATCTTCTCTCTCGGCGGGAACCTAGCATATGACTGTGCTGGTTGCCACCCAATCGACCGGGTGCTAGCGGATACTATCCGAAGCTGGTTTGCCCACACCTTTGCGAAGGTCGATTGGAGAAGCTCGTGCGATTTTTCCAAACTATCTGATCTACAGAGGTCTGTTGCTCGGTCGCTGATGAACTGGATTTTAGAGAGAACGGCGACGATCACTCCGTGCTTACATGACACTCCACTTCGAGAAAGCGCTGATCCTTTACATATCGAAGTCGCGGCCGATGCCTCTAACATTGGAGCAGGGTACACTGTATCGATAGTGCACCCAAATGGTGATAGTGGAGCCACTCGATATCTTCTTGCATCTGGGGCTTGGAGATTCACTCTCGCTCAGCAACATTATCATTCAAATCGCCGTGAATTATCCGTTTGTTGTCGAGCGGTGCAGTGCGCTATTGATATTGTGGCTCACTTAGCGACGACACTGTCAGGAACCTTACCTTCGATTACCTTGACCGTAAGATCGGATAATAAACCGACGGTGCAGTGGATCAACGGTCATGGGGGTGTGTCTAGATCATCACTAGAGCGGAGGGCAGTGTTGCGAACCCTCAACGCCCTCCGGGATGAGCTCGACTACCTGAAGACCTTGGGGGCCGGAACAGTGGTGGTGAAACACATCGAGGGTAAGTCGAACACCATGCCGGATATGCTCTCGCGACTCTTCGAGAGAGAGGTCCACCTAGAATCAGGCCAACGGATGAAGCTGGTCGATGCTCTCCATGGTGGTCCTGGTAACACTGGTGACTTCCCCGAGATCTTCTCAGAGCCGGAAGCTGAAGGAGTAGGCCTGTCTTGGATCATGAGATCTGAGGGGGCGGAGCTGATGGATGAAGATGCTCATGATGTGGACATTTACACTCTTTTGAGTGCTATGCCTTCTACAGAGAGTTTCCTTGCCTGTTGTGCAGCCGATTCCGCTGCCGATGAACAACAGCCGAAGCCATTTATCGAGACTCTATGTGGTTGCAATTGGGATGTGAATGGCGTCCTTACCGATTTCCTCTTCCTGCACAGAGTTTTCAATGCTCTGAGGCCGTCTGCGAAGAGAGTTGAGGATGTCCGACTCGAGGCCGATAATGTCAACTACCTTGTGAGATCTCTGCAGCAGCAGATGAAGCCTCCTTTTCTGTCGTGTGCCGGCCCGTACGTACACGATGAGACCGCAGGGGTGTATTGTTTCCGAAACGGCTCTGCAGACGGTGGTTGTACCTACTTGCCTGTTATCCCGAAGGATGAGTGTTGTCGTGCGTTTCGAGCAAAGATCTGTCTCGACTCGCACCGGCTGAGCAAACACGGAAATGTCCGCTCGACTGTGGCATCTGTGTATGATCGGTTCTACTTGCCTCGCCTACGTATGGATGTTCGCGCCTTGGTAAAGCACTGTTTCGTTTGTCAGCTCATCCGAGCTCGTCGTACGTGGACTCAGCCACCGGGTGCTGGACCTCATCGCACCCAAGCCACAGCGTGGGAACCGTACCACGATGTGTTCGTCGACGTCCTGAGCCTTGGAGATATCAAAGGTTGGTCCGGGACGACCAAGGTGCTTACCGTCTACTGTCTCCATACCTTCCACTCCACTTGGGTTCCGACTGGCGAGACCACGATAGACGTCTTGAATTCTCTCGTCCGAGTGCAGACTGAACAAGGCGGGTTGAGAAGATTGTGGTGTGATAATGCTGCTTACTTCCGCAGTGCACGTTTCCCCAAAGAGGTTTCTCGCCTGTTGAATGGGACGGTTTCATTGCTGCCAGTGCGATCTCCATGGCGTAGTGGTGGCGGTGAACGTGCTCATGGTATTGGCATAAAGATCGCAAAGACGCTTCTGAGGAGCCAAGCGGGATTTGTGGGACGACGACGTCCGCGACGCAAGGACGATGTCGATTTGGAGAGTATCTGCAGGGAGGTAACGTTCTGATGAATACTCGTCCGTTGGATTATGCTAACTCTGACGAGCCATCTGGCGAGTTTGTCGTGGTTACGCCTGATCAATTGGCTCGTGGATTTACTCGTAAGCGAGGTTGCGTCCTCGCTGGTGGCTCTTCTACTCTTCCTATTTCTCACCGCGTTAGAGCAGTGCGGTGTTATTTCCTGAATGAGATGTTCCGCGACATGAGGATGGCTGTCGCTCGCTCTATGGGGTACCAGAGCTTGAAGAACAAGATCCTGAAGCCTACGATTGGTGACCCAGTGCTGATCTACCATCCGGAAAAGAAGCTGAGCCCCGGATACCGTTTGGGTCATGTGAAGGATCTGCTAGATGAAGGTAGAAGGATCCGTATTGTCTTAACTGACGGTAGCGTTGTTGATCATCATCACTATAATGTTGTGCCGATTCTGCATCACCCTCAATTGTCGGGGCAGAGGGGGCGTATTGAGGATTGACGAGCCCGGTCTTGCTTTGTTCGTGCGTGCAGTCCTGTGTACGTGCGTGCCCCGCAATTGATGGTGTTTTTTCCCTGAGCCATTATATTAAATGACATTGATACGCTCAATCTCAGTTTCACAACCGTAAACTTGTCTACTCGTTGTTAATACTCCTCCAGCTAGTCGGTTGGTATACGGAAGACTGTGTGGAGCATGCTTGGAGTAGGTACTCGCTCCTTCCCGTGGCATGGCTTGTGTCCGCATCTGTACAATGTCATTATAACAATGATACGCGTATCCACTCGGATTCAAAACCCGCCGCATATCAGCTAGTATGCCATTGGTATGCGAGTCAGTGCAGATTTTCGCTCCGATCGGCTTGGGAATAAGTTATGTGACAAGTGTGACAAGTCATTCTACATAGAGTTGCACTTTTCTCAGTGGTCTTCCTTCCTCTGATTCATTTGCACACGCGGGTTTTGGATCAAGTCCGTCACCATTCACTCTATTCCTATCGACGACCTTGCGTTTACCAGTGACTCGGAGCACGAGAACTACCGTTCAGCCAAAAAGATGTCTACAAAATGAGGGGGTGACCACATTAGTGGTTCAACGTTCTCCGGTGTGACCATCCGCTCATATAAAGAGCTATGGTGTGGCAGTGCTCCCAAAATGTCGGACAAGACTGGGGCTTCTGATGTGCTGGGAGTTGCTCTACGCGACTCTGGTATCCCCAAGTACCCAAATGTCACGTTCATTGTTTATCGCCAGGTGGCCTTGGGTGATGATGTCACTTAAACGACGCGCTGTAAGTTACAGCCTGTAACAACAGACCACAACTTTATGAGCACTAATCGTCGTACAGTGACTTGAACTACTCCAAGGCGGTGAGGGATTCGATGTACACATCAAAGTGTGGTTCAAGAACTCCAAGGTAAGCGCGCCTTGCCTACCCCTGTCATTGCCTGTCTTCTTCTCCATGAAGCATGTTGATGGGGACGCGGCTCTTTGACAGCGAACTGTCAGTTCGGAACTGAGGCTATAACGGTGCGAATTCTCCTGTCCAAGACCCATACTGACTATCACACTGTTCTTGCTGAGATGAGCGGACACAATGGCCCCGACGAGGTCATTGTGGTCCATTGGAGGAGATGATACGTCGTATCCAATGGACCTACCGGTGGTCACCTGCAATGTCCTAAAGCGGCTATCAACATTATCTGGTGATCACGCATGGATCGCCTTCTTGTACATCCGGTCTAAATCATGGTTCTCGTTGTCGACGACTTCTATAAGCCCTACCTCCGTGAGGGGATCCTGGTCATCGATATATCACAGGGACCTAGAATGGGTTGAGACCTTCCTAGCAAGGGAGTCTGATGTGTAGAATGAGATGGTCTCATATCACGAGTACAAGCGTATTCAACCGCCCTGCGAGTGTGATCGAGTCATCCACACGATACGCACGATACGGACATCACTAATAGTGATTCACTATCCGACGACCTGAGGAGGGATAGAATCCTCGTCGAAGACGTATCCTATTACAGGATACGTCTAGGGTACGTTTATTATAGGATTCCTGTACCGACATTATTGGAAGACTTCTAGACATAGAGGCTAGGAGCTCGACCTACTACCCATGGGAGAGTGTCAAGAAATCCGAGTCCATAGGATCTCGCCATAACCAGTCGAGCGCGGCCAAGGACTGTACCATCTTCCCTCCTGCGACCGCAACAAAGCCCTCTGAGAAGTCGTCAAACAAAGAAGGGTCCAAGAATGACCGGTGGTGCGATATCTGCTTGAAGTATGGTAAGCAGTGCTTACTAAGCACACTACCGAGCGCTGTTGGGACAATCCTAATACTACTGCCACCATACCCGATTGGTTTAAGAACAAGTCCTCCAACTTGGAGGTACAGCGTTCCACTCTTAGGAAGGTCTCTGTGCTGAGGCTGCTCTCGCGTGCGTGCGACTACTTAGGTCGTCGTCGCCCGAACACAATCGATCAGGCTACGTGTGTGCGTGCCCCATTGCTCATTGCTTGTGCTTTGGAAGCCTCACGGATTGCCAATTATTCTTTTCGGTCAAACTTATTGATTCATGTGACATCGGTATCAGATATTATCACCCTCATTTCCTAATGAATGACTCCGAACCCTCAAATGATCCTGAGTTGTCACTGGGAAGAACCATACTTGAGCCCCAAGACGCTACAGAGGCTCCAAGGCCTCTACCAAGGAGAAGTCCGAGAAGCGGCTACTCAGAAGCCTATTAAACCTGCAGCAGGTTACCTGCTGAAGGTAAAGGAAGAGGGGGGTAAGCCCAGCTCTGATGGTCCTGAAGAGTCGCAATCGCGATTCAACCTCAGAAAGACCGAGGGCCTCGGTCCGAGGCCAAAGACTATAAGCCGGTTTTTTGCACCAGCCGTTCATGTTTTTCCTCATCAGATGAGGCGTCTCGGATGAGGCTTTCCTGAGACGCGATTCAGAGCGCATCTGATTGACGAGAACTGCGGCTATAACGGCCACCTTTCTACTGTTGCAGCGACGGATTCTCTCTGCATATCCAAGCGTGTTGATAGCTCCCGGGTCGACAAGGTTGGAGAACAGTCCGCTACGAATGAGTTAACCAAATATTCTCCTCTGGCCACTCTCTCGACATCAACGGGGGGGCGTTGTGGTACCGGTTACTGTCCGTCCGATCGATAATGAATCTGGATGTTAGATTGGTCCAAGAACCTTCACCGTACAGGCTATAGATGCTCGACCAGTCTGTGCGTCAGAGAGCGTCACCTTTTTGTACATGCGTACAGACTTTCTCCTTGTGCTTGCGTACAAGTGTGAGCATAGGATACATTCCGTACTATTGATCTTGAGCATTGAGCGTTACTAGCTCCTAAGTCCGTAGCCATCTTGGCTCAAGTCTCAGTGTACGCTTGGGTCGCATCTCTCCAGCTAATGTCGGGTCGTGTTGACACAAGGAAACGACAGGAGGCGCCGGACAATGTCCTCAAGATGAATGTCCTCGGATGATGTTGATGTCATCAACAAGGCCCTGGTCGTGGAAATAAGGTCTATGTTGCTCGACTGCGGTCTCATACTCGGCGCTTACTCCCTGGAGAAAATGGAGCCGATCTACGCTTCTCGAGTAAGACCCTTAGTACAGGATATTGGTATAATCAGGATAGCAGCTATCCGATAGCTCCCTTGTCCGCTGTTCCCCATCGGATGGGGAACAGCGCTATATTATGTCCGCTAAATTATGCTGACATGGGTTCTGTCGAGGAGAGATTCGAAAACTCTTCCCTGGATGAAGTCATCCAGTTTTGCAGGGACAAGCTAGGGGAGGCATCGCCTATGCGGCATAGGCTATGCCTGCTCTCGAGTTCGGGCTATGACACGGCACTACCCCTTGCCATTCCCCATCGAGTTGAAATGTACCGGCGCCGCCGGCCCGGTGCATCTCGTCGATGCCACACGTTGTACGATCAACCGGGGGATAGAGACTGGTAACTAGGTGGAGCTGGAGCCGACAAGTGACTTGTCGGGATAAGACCTAGTGACCAGTCAGACTGGTCCAGTCTTGTCACAAGTCTGGACTCCAGGCTCTGGAGACGGATGCTCGAGTCCCCAACGCTTTCGTGAAGCCTAAGGGTAGACTCGACAGTGACGGCTTCCAAGAGATCCGAGTTGCAACTTTGCTTCTGCAGATGAGGCACATACATAAATATATATCCCACCCAGCTGTCGAACACGACAGCACCCTCCCTTGGGCTATGAAACAGACCGTGATCTGCGAGAACGCATCAAACTGTGGGCAAAGCATGCCGCCTACACCGTCATGGCAGGTTTTCCACAGTTGAGCAGATCCGCAATTCTCCCAAACCAGATCACGGATAGAGAATAGCCCAGTGAGAGGATAGAGGATAGCCCAGTGAGAGGATAGAGGATAGCCCAGTGAGAGGAAAGGGAAAGTCCTATACTACGTCACCTCTCTGCTATATATCCACGTATATATATAGGCACCAACCCGAACCACCATGTATGAAAGCCCCCCAACTCAATTAGCAACCTCGTCTGATGTTGCTAATATGAGACTCTCTGATGCAAGTCGCATACTGGGGGTTCACAGGAGTTGACCATTGGTGCACACGCAAGTAGTTCTGCCGCTCGGTATGCCACGCCGGCAGATCCAAGATTATCATCGGCTCCACAGGAAGGCGCCTTTGATCTTGTAAAGGGCGTACAGAACCTGGCTCATCCCCCTGTGAATGGCGCTGTATTGTGGGAGCCGTGTTGTCACCCCGATGCCTAAGCTGAGCTTTTGCTCTCATCACCACTGCAGCGAATAGTTGGCTACTCGTCAAGAGAGCGTCTTCTATGTAGATGTCGACGCACTTGAAATCCTTGGACCATCTACCAAAGGCACGTATCTGGTTCCGTTCCAAGCCTGGCTGGTGTCAGTCTGACACTGTCAGATGTTAGCGCAGCCTGGCCCAGCCCGCGCTAACATCTGACACCCTCCTCGAAGCCAGCTATGGAGTGTATGTACATCTTTAGAGCCAGTACCCGACCTTATCGCATCGCGCTTGAGCCATGACCTCAGTGCCTCCTTTGACATACACTTCCCATCAGTATCGACTAGAAGTACATCGCCAGGGCCAGTCTCTTCCATTCTTCGCATATTCAGCAGACACTCGGCAGCGCGGACAGGGCACAGGTCTTTATCCAAGCCGTTACTGAAGGCCTCACACGAGCATCCGTGATCCCTCATAACGCCAATAGCCTGAGTGTCGGTTTTGCTGGCCGTCACCGTCAGCTCCACTTTACCAATTATAGGGTGGAGACGCACATCATCGACCTTCAGCTTGCATAACTCGTCGCCTCTCAGCAAGAACCAGGAGCCCAAGACATAGGCATTCGCTCGGCGAATTTCTTGAGGACCCCGCGCATTGCGGATCATCGCCTGCAGCTCGCATGGTGGATTGGTCTCGCATGCTTAGGGGGGCCGATACCTCGGGTCAGGGAACGCTTGACTCTCGATAGACATGCCTTCTCCACTGGTCCCAAGGAGTGCCCCAACACAGAATTGTGGGCACAAGCGGCTGCCAAGTAGTCGCCGCCGCTACGGTAATTGGCCGCTTTCAAGATGGACCCTACCAGCTCGATGTTGACACAGCACACCGAGAATGCAGCTACTCCTTGGGACTGACAGGTCTCCATCCACAGTTTTACACGAGAGCAGTTAGACCGTCGAGTGGAATCCGCGTACATACCACGTTCCAGCTCCTTCATAGCCTGATGTCTACCTTTTACATTATCTGGTTGAAGAAGCTTCCTAACCTCCTAGATACTCCCTCGATTAGGAGGTAGCCGACGGCGACACCCGGAAGATGAAGGTGAACTCATGGAGAGAACCAAAAGGACGATGAACCTACCTGACATTCTGAGAGAGGCATACATTATGAAAGTCAAACTCTCAGGGATAGCCAATGGAGCCAAAGTGAATCCAAAATCCCCCCAAACCCCGCAACTGTAACCACGAGGCGAGTAGCACGCGTGATATAGACGCAATCATGCAAACCCGAATCGAGGGTAAGGGTGTGAACCCGAGTGTTGTGATTTCTCTCTTGACTTAACAAAACCATACTTCAGCCAGTAACAGGGATATAGGAAGAGATACTGATCTGATGCTCAAATATGCACCACAATATCGTAATACGTTCAAAACATCATCTAGCGAGGAGAGACAAATGCACAGCTTAGCTCAGATAATTACACAATAATATCACAAATTACATACGGTATCCTTGTCGGAGTTCACTACATAACAGCCCCCTAAAATGAGATAGCAAGCATTTACATCCTCGCTGACTTCTTAGCTCGGTCAGCAGCCTCTGCAGTCCAACTCTCAGCTCGAGCACGCTTTGGAGCACGTATCTGGAGTTGCTGGTTGGTTGAGTCACTCGCACCCGATGACTGCGATTGTGCAAGATCAGCTGCTACATCTTCATCTGAACAATGACGCTTACAGTTACCAAGCCAATGAGTCTCGACACCATTTGAAGTAGTTATCATCACATGACGTCCTCTCGTAGCCAGCACTGGAAAAGGGCCTCGAAAGGTAGGAGATAATTTATGAGCTCTCTCTGTGAAAACATAAACCATTTCACCGGGCTTGAGGTTGCTCTCATACTTGATCACTGGCAAAGACCGTTCTCGCTGGAGAAGCCACTCCTTGACGAATACACCGAGGAGTTTTCGCCGATTCCCACCAACTGCATCAGCAACCTTCATTAAGTCAAATACGGAGTTCGGTCTTGATAATACCAATGAATCATCAGCACCCTTCATACAAGGAACTGGCAAGGTGCGACCATAAAATAGTAAGGCAGGACAAATGCGACTCTGACCGATTTCACCATGATTCACCAGCCACTTAACTTGCTCCAAAACCAACTCGTCATGCCAGTCTGAGCCACCATCACTAAGGACGAACTTCCTCAAAGCTTCCAATATTATCCTATGCCGTCGTTCATAATAACCTCCTGCTTCAGGATGATTACTGGGATGTATATTCCAAGATATGCCCACACTCAGAGTGTGGACAGACGACAGAGGTTCCCCATCTTCGGAAACCAACACCAGTCCGAGAGCAGCAACTTCAGCTGTCTCGAGTTAGCATGACAGTCTGCATGCGCGTGCATCACCAATTCCTTCCTGACGTCGACAGGCAGTACAAGTTGCTTAACAATACTACCCAAAGCATTGAACCTTTGGACCCGGAAAACAACTCCATCATCATCTTTGATGAAGCCGTTACCTTTAGCAAGAGCTTGAACCTCAGCACATGTCTGCAGGGCTTCCCTGACTGCATCTAGGTCACAGTAACGGGGACACTGAAATGGTTCAATTGCTATATCGTCATCATCATCATCATCATCACCAAGCACATCCAACGTCTCAGAATAAAACTCACCAATAGCGTCTTCTTGTAGAAGACTACTTGAGATATGCAGAGGATCAACCTCAGTGACATCACCAGAGGCAAGATCCTGTGGTAGGACCCTTGCCATGGAATCCACAAGCTTAACCACTGAAAGACGAGGCACCCACAATGTAGCATCAACTGTCCGATGGTATTCAGTTACCATCCTAAGATCCAGCTCGGTAGCCGCATGATCAGCTTCAAGAGTATGCCAATACCGACCACCAACAGAGTTAGCATTATCACCAATCATCACCACAGGAGAGGTGCATAGAGGGAGGAACCTATGCAGAGCTAACAACTGTGCTTTACGTTCACGAAAAGTTGAAGAGCGAAGCATATCCTCGTCCGTCACTGAACCACCATCGAGAGAGAGCGGGAGCAGCATACATATCTCATCATCGGCCAGCTCTAAAGATATTTCAGAGCACATCTTGATGGCCAGCCCATCAAGGGCGAGATGCCAGCCTATAGCTCGGGGACCAATATCCGCAATCTCACTCTTCTTGATTATGATAAGTTGAAACATGATGGCAGCCCAAGCATCCT